CGATGATCCTTCTGAACATATGCAGGGCCTGGACGGCAATCGCACTCGCATCTCCAGCACTTTGGGCGAACATCCGAGTCCAGTTTGGGGCACTCGATGGATCCAAGAACCTCATGGATACGTGGCTTGATCGCGCGCACGGCTGCTCCTTGAATCTCTCGCTTCGAGGGAGCTTTGATTCCGAATTTGCAGCTTCCATCCATAAACGAGCAGACCAGCTGCAGTGTTTGGAGGTGTACGTCCGATTCAAGGAGACTCTCGAATATTTGTTTGAAGGAGAAAGGTTGTTCACCTCGTTGAGATCGTTGACGATCGGCAGTAGAACTCTTGACCACCTACGTCTTCGAGCCGATGAAATCGTGGGGATTCTGCGTTCAGCTCCGAATCTTACGGAATGCATCTTCGACCAGATTTCTTGTGTCCCCACGTCCGGAGACTCTCTCGACGGATTGCAGCCTTTGATCCTCGCGCGTCTGCAGTATCTAAACATTGGTCGATATCGAAACCCCAGGCCTGAGCGACCCCATCCCAAACCCGACGCGATCCTAAAATACCTCACGCTACCTGGCCTGAAAAGCCTAAATATTTCCCGCATCCCCGACACGCAGATTCTCCGCGAACTTATGGAGCGTTCCTCACCACCTTTACAAAAGTTGGTTCTCTGCTTCGGGGAACTTCCACAGCGCGAATGTTTCCAGACCCTCGCTGGCCTCACGCATCTCGAGCTGGGCTCTGGAGGTGGCCAGTTCTTGGCGAACCTGAGCGTTCACTCGCCACAACACTTTCTTCCTCATCTCGCCAGCTTCGCGATTCGCAACGTCGTCCCTACAGCTACTCTATACGACGTCCTACTCGCGGCCTTGACTGCTCGACGGCAGACAGAACTTCAGGCAGTGGATATCACATGGAAGGATGAAACCGAGGAAGATATCCCGGAGCACATCGCCATGGCCGTACAGGAGTTTGTGGATGGTGGAATGAGTATTCAAATCGGACCTCCACATTAGAATTTTGTCGTCAGTACTCAGTATTTCAACCAATTTCAACCGTTGCTTCATCAATTTAAATTTGACTCCGCGCCGGGCGCCGGTACCGGACTCGACCTCAAACCCCAGATCTCCACGACTATCATGCACTGGTGCTATTTCCAAGCCCCAAATCCTGGGCAAGCAGTTGGACTTGCTGATCTCCAAGAGTTTTCAACGCAGCGATATCGATAGTATTGTTGCCGACTCCATTCGGGACTTCTTGCCCAAATACAATGTCTGTGCAACCTTGCGGTGAGCCTCGGGACACCGCGTAGAGTTGAGACCTCACAAGCTACATTGTTTTGGTCATGCCCTTGGCCGCCGTTGGTTGTAACATTGGGGAAACACGCCTGGCCAAGCAAGAGGGATCCTTCGCCGGTAAGTGGGGGGCTCTGACCACTGTGAAGGGAGAAAGTTTGAAAAAATCAGCCATTGCCAAATCAGTGTTTCTCATGCTCACTTGGTGTCGCCGAAGATGGCGTAGAATATTTTCCCATCGCAGATAATAGCACCGAGCGCGTTTGCTTTCAGCGCGCTTCCCTGTTCATCTGCGAAGCTCTGTGGCAGTACGAACCATGGTACGACTCTTGCGTCGAGGGCGCCGAAGGATGTCAACGGTTGGCCGTCGCCGGTGTTTCCCTGCCGAGCTTGAGATTGACACCCTTCATTATACAAAAAAACTTGCAACATACTGGGCAGTTCCACTAAACGAATAGACTTCAGCAGTTAATAGAGCAAGAAAATGGGCGACTAACATAAACGCCATCGCAATCAATGTCCATATCTGCTAAGAAACTGAACGCGGAGACGTGTTGGAGGTGGGTCCAGTCGCCATATACCACTGACGTATAGTCGTGAGCGTCAGAAGTGAAGTAACTGGCGACTTTAGTCTTCGTCGCTCCTTTCGCTGCGGTATATATGGCCGCGACGTTGATAGAAGCATCGGCGGCAAATGCACTGTGATCGACGGAAGACGTGTCTCGGTCGTTGAAGGAGTGGTGCGGCGCTGCCAGAGCGACCGATGCCAAAACCAGGGCATAGAGAGAAGCGAAGGAGGTGCGCATGATCCAGATCATGTTGGGAATTCCAGCATTTTTGCGGCGATCTTTATTGGATTTGCGGAGCGCCGGGGGATTGCAACAAGTGACATGAGTCGCATTGCAACAGGCTTCGGAGTCCGCGTTTCTGTTCTGGTCTGGTATACTTCCTGGAAACCGGCGTTCTTGAGCGGGACCGTGCCGTGTAAATGCTACCTACCTGACGTTGTTCGTGATTGCTCCGTGGGGCAGTTCCCATCGATCAAATGCAGTGTGGCAATGTGCCCCAGTCGGTTTCTAGAAAACCTCAGGTAACTGAAACCGTGGGCTTAGTATAAAGTCAGAGAGATACCAAAGCCGCCCGGCACAAATTAGGAGGTCTATTGAACGCAATTTAGGCGGACTGGATTTAGAAGTCCCGATTTTGAGGCTTACTCCGGCTAGCCTCCGAGTGTATCCGTCATCGAGTTAAAATTCTCTGCATTGGTCTGTAAAGGATACATCACCAATGAATCGTGATAAAATGCCGCGCATCTCCATCACACAGCTGTACATTTCGTCGACAATTTCTCGAGATTCGCCAGCGAGCTCCGTCGATTTGAGGTCATCAACCCTTCCAGCTAAAGGTAATACACGCTTCGACATTAATTCTGCCGCCAATTGACGCTGCACGCCTGCCATCCGATTTACTGGCATATCTGCGACGGCGCGAAAATAATCACTCACCGATATATCCCGGCTCTGCTATGGTTGTCTGAACATGCACAGATTTGTAGTTTTCATTTTCGCGCTCAGAACCCTCGGCCGAGGTCAGAGGAGATTTGTTGTCGGTATCAGCTGGAACAACATCAACTGTACATACTATTATAGCGAAAATGAATGTTTGCGCACTATGACGAGCTTCAAAATGACGACGTGGAAGTCCTGGAACCTTTATGTATCTTTTCATTCTTTCTGAATCCTTGTGCTGATAGACGGCGAGGAATTGGTCGTAGGAACGGAAATATTCAGCCTTGGTCAAGTCGTAAACGAACAGAGTCTTTCTGTCGCATCCGAGCTTTCCGGCTCTGCACGGGCGACATGATGGTTGGTCCTCGTCAATAACACATACTCTGGTCCTGCTTTTAAGACACCTGTCGCAGGCCTGTCACGGTCAAAGTTGCAAGAGTCCGCGCGGTGTCGCAGTCATTCACATCACTTACCTTCCTGTTAGCCATATTCCAATCCCTTAGTTCAGTCCCACCTGTCGTCCATCGCTTCTCCGCATCATGGTATCTCGTGGTCAACTGTACCACCCTGCGCCAAAACCGATCCAGCGTGGATTCATCTGGAAATTCTATCGAAGAGGGCCAGGGCCTCTCCGACGCTTTGGGTCTGGAGAGCGATGAGGGTGGAAGTCTGAACACATTTTGGGAGGCTTTTATCTGCTTGACATGATTCTGCTCGCCAGCGTTCATGAGAGAAATCGAAAAAGCATGAGTGTGTGAAAGGTTGCTATAAGTTCTAGTAGTATAAGACGGACCGGAAGATAGCACCCGGTACAGCCACTGATTGACAGGTCCATATTTGTTCCACTTCCGGCAAACCCCTATTCAGCCTATGCTTTGGGACAATGGGAGGTTGCTGTCTTGATTGTTTTTGTGGGCTTGAGAATACCTGTGGAAAATGGTCAAAACGATCACTGACCAGATTCTCGGATGGTCCACGCGTCGACTCCGGCTCTTAAATCGCCTGTTTAAGCTTCTTCCAGAGTTGGCGCGCTATTTCCGATTCCAACGGAGTTGGATACTTATGACTGGGAGCATCATGATGTGAAAGCCAACCTGACTCGGTACCGCTGCTCGTCTCAGATCACATATACTAACTAATAGAGATGGCCCACGAACCAAACCTCCGAGCCGCTACCCCGGAGGATATCCCTGCTCTCGCCGATGCGTGTATCAGCGCCGCAAACTTCTCTATCCCGGGCCGCAAGTTGGGCGAAGAACTCTACGATTTGCACAGGGACATCGCATCGGGAGAGCCTGGCGTATCGCCTCCTGGAAAGCTGCGGAGACAGTTCCAAAACCAGATGGATACCCAGCATCTATGGCTGGCTGAGGTCGGAGGAAAGGTCGTTGGGTCCATTGCTTGGTACGGCCCGGGATGGAATGAGCAATTAGGATACAAGCCCGGCGAGGTGAGTGGACGAGGCTACGGCGTTGATGGTGATTACTTGACTTGCATTCAGATTACCTCGTTGTTCGTCCACGCGTCGTTTCATGACCGCGGAATCGGGACTATGCTTTTGCATCACGCCAAGCAACAGGTTGCGGCCAACTTTGACAATCTGGGTGACAAGGGAGGTCGAGTGCTCATGGAAGTCCGATGCTTCGAGAAGAGTCCACGCGCCTTGAAATTCTATGAGCGAGGCGGATTTGTGAGGAGGGTTGGGGCCGACAAATGGCTTGAAGAAGTAGGAGAAAGTCTAGCTCTATTAATTTGGATCAAGTAAAGCGGTGGCTGAATGCTGGTAAATAAACTACCGTCGGTAAAAAAAACAGGTGGACCAGGAGTGGGGTGCAAGAAGCAAAAAAACAAAATAGCTTCAAATTATTATTTCATGCCCCAGCCTGGAGTCAAACCAGGCTGTTGGCTTCGTAAGAATGCGGAGTTCAGCCTTGCAGGAAACAGATGCACACGCGTGCTACAGGGGTCGTATTCTGTTCTGCGGAGCCTGTATAAGTGCACGAGGATTCGTTGAAAACGAAAAAAAAAAGGGGATGACTCGGACCCGGCCTGAAATGCGAATTTTGCATTGTTCCTGCCAGTCACCAGCGACTTCCCAGTTCGGTGGGTGAAAAGATTTAATTCAAAAGAGGAATATGTAAACCGTAAAGCTGATCACAGTAAATTCGAGAAAGAAAGGAAAATTAAACACAAGTGTCCCAAACCACGACCCATCCCGGAGTCGAACCAGGATGTTCTGCATAGACTTCTGCAACCTCAAATTATAAGCAGACGCACTCCGAGTACCACTGGGCCTCTTTCTCGCTAGTTGTCTCCTACTACGAATGGGTTTGGGTGGTGAGCACACGATGTTGCGAATTCCTCGCCTACGAGTTTGGCCAGGGTTTACAGCACTCCGTTGTTTGGGTTGGAAAGGACTCGAAGAGGAATATCGTTACTTGAGGCGGATAAGTGATTCGAGCAAGGAATAGAAAGAAAAACTTTTCGAGATGCCAGCGATGATGACCCAGCCTGGAGTCGAACCAGGGAGTTCTGTAGAACTGTTCAAGATCCCATAACTGGTGGCAGACGCACTCCGAGTGCTACTGGGTCTGATTTTATCCTTTTCGTGCCCGAAGAAAAAAGGGCGTAAACATCCAACAGGGAATGAAAAGAAAAAAATTGCATTTCCTTCAGCATCATGACCCAGCCTGGAGTCGAACCAGAAGATAGTCTGCATACGTCAGTTGCTGCCGCCGAATAGTCAAAGCAGATGTGCACCGCGCACCACCGGGTCTTTTTACTGTGGATTCAGATATCAATACGAAGGGAATTGGCGCATGAAAACCTGCGAGGAAAAAGGAGCGATATTTCTTCAGTATGACCCAGCCTGGAGTCGAACCGGGAGATTTGGTCTGCGTAAATTCTTCGAATGCATATAAGCAAAGCAGATGTGCACCGCGCGCCACTGGGTCTCTTGAATAAGGACCGGTTCCAGTATAGATGCGAGAGTAATCGGTAGATGAAAAGCTGCAAGGAAAAAATAGCACAATGAACTCGCTATGACGCAGCCTGGAATCGAACCAGGATACATAGTCTGCATGAATTTCGTTGGCCACGGGAAATCTAAGCAGATGCGCACCGAGCGCCACTGGGTCTCTTCACTTGGACCGGATCCAGAATAAGTGCGAGAGGAATCGGTAGATGAAAAGCTGCAAGGAAAAAATAGCACAATCAACTCGCTATGACGCAGTCTGGAATCGAACCAGGGTAGTCTGCATGACTTTCGTTAATCACGGGAAATCTAAGCAGATGCGTACCGAGCGCCACTGGGTCTCTTTACTTGGACCGGATCCAGGATAGGTGCGAAAAGAATCGGTAGATGAAAAGCTGCGAGGAAAAAATGCGAAGTGAACTTGCTATGACCCAGTCTGGAATCGAACCAGGGTAGTCTGCATGAACAGATTGACCGCAAAATCTAGCAGATGCGCACCACTCGCCAATGGGTTTCTTTACTTGGAATGGTTCCAGAATAAGTGCGAGAGGAATCGGTAGATGAAAAGCTGCGAGGCAAAAATGGAGTTCTACACATTGTTACGAATGACGCAGTATGGAATCGAACCAGGGTAGTCTGCATGATTTTTTGTGGACACGGTAAATCTAAGCAGATGCGCACCGCGCGCCACTGGATCTCTTCACTTGGACCGGATCCAGGATAGGTGCGAGGAAATTGGTACATAGACGCCGGCTTGCGAGAGAAAAAGCCGAATTCAGGGCCTTAATGACCCGGCCTGGAATCGAACCAGCTCTCTGCGGGGAGAGAGCGAGCGCCTTGGAGACAGACGTGCTACCGGTTATTGGTCGTCTAGTTTGTGGTTTGGGCTTGAGTCGGCCTTCGTTGAGTCTGGTGGAATTCGGAATTCGGTTGAACGGCGTGCAGTTAAAGGGCTTGAGTGAAGACTCAGGCCTCAGGCCTCAGCAATCAGCGCTCATAAATCTGCGAAGTTTATCAGAAAGAAGAAAATAAAAAAGCTACGCCGCCGCCCGAATTGCCACCGTTGAAGATGCCAGCCCCAGTGGAGTCGAACCATCTGCAATACCGGTAGCTGTAATCCTAATCGGTCGCAGATGCACACCGCATGCCACTGGCGTGTCTTAAGAAAGTGTCTCTTACCAGAAGAATAGTAACGTCGGCGAGAGAGGGTGAGAGTTGAGAAATTAGAATCAAACGCAAAGCGTGGGAATGTGCTGATCCCAACATCCAAATTCGGAACCTCAACGCCGACGCGACGGTATGCGTCCTACCTCATAGAATTTCGCCGCTTGCACTATACGACGAAGAGAGGGAGTATCTGCGTGGATTGGGTGATAAACCCATAGCGGAAAAGGCTAGCACTGGGTGAGCGATAAGTATAGCTCAAGAGTTTCACTCAGTCCTCGCTGACATCGAACACAGGGCCTGTCCATCGGTGCTACGAGGACGAGGAATTGAAGTGGTGATGCATGGGTCTCGGGCGGAAGATCTCATCTTCGTGACTGTCAGCCGCTTGGAAGTGTGGCGTCAATAATCCACACTCCATGCCAGCCTCTTGGTCGACCACTCTCTCCGTTATACTCTCTTATACTCTCTCGCCCACCCGGTGCAGGAGCTCCAAGGCCTCTTCTCGACCTGGTCTTGGATAAGGGTCACAGGAATGAGCGTGTATCCAGTACCATCGCGTCCTCAACCGTCGAGACCGCATGCGTCGCATCGTCCTCGGAGCCCTACCTGCGCCAGGCTTCCCAGGCGTCTTCGACCAGTACAACCAGCATCCGCACTCTAGGCCGTAGACGTGCTGGATCCTGAGTAGAGGGGCTTTGATCAATTCGTTTAAAGTCGCCTTCCGGGCTCTAGTCCCCGCATTCGATGTAAGTTTGCCTCCTTCATCTTCCTTCGCGACACCATTCCCATCCTCACGAACCACCATCACCTTCCTCTCTTTTCCCTCGGCGACTCACTCCACCCACACCTTGCTATGTATCTCTGTCAGCCACTTCCTCTCTTATCTCTTTTCGCTGCGCGCACCTCCCGCGTGTTTCCATATTGGCGGACTTTATCTCCCCCCTTTGTGCCATTCTCTCCTCCTTCGCCTTGTCGCGAGACCTTCATTACCGTCCCCTTCCTGCATTTCTTTCCCCGCCACTCACATACTAGATGTCCACTGACTTGTCTTTCAGGAGGAGGATGTAAAGCAGCAAGTAGTCACTTACCCGGCGGACCCGACGTGCGCATGCGGACAAGAGGCCTGTGCATTAGCCCTGCCGTGGTTGGAGGAGGCCGCGCTACCCGCGAACACGAAGAAGCGACAGGCGTGTTCGCACCGACCTCGGTGTGCTACATGTACGCCAGGATTCGGTCGTGTGCGCGCGAAGCCGTGTATGTCTGAAGCGCGGCCACTCCTCGACTTGTTGTGGGACGGAGCGACGGGGGCGGGAATGTGTGTTTTCCGAGGACCCGGGTGCGGACTATACCATCTCGCCCCGCCCCGGGTGTGCGGGTGAGGACGCGTATGTACCAGGCGCAGACGTGTCGTAGAAGGAGATGAGGACTATCCGCATCATTGTGTGAGTATTTGCTCTACTTACCGTACTTCGCTTCCTTCCTTCCTTCGTACCTCCCCCCACACAGAGATACATGTACATTCGATACATTCTCTCCTCCCCCCTTCTCGTGTCAGCCACCACAACTTTCCATGTGTCTCTTGAGCGCTCTGTCAGCCACTTCCCCTGACTCCTCCTCCGTGTCAGCCACTCCTCTTTCCTTTCCCTTCCGTCATCCTCCCCCATCTTCCTGATGTGTCATCCTCCCTCTTTATTTTCTTCCTACCGTGCTCCGCTGTGGATTCCGTCCCCGATAGTCAGCCACACCGTAGGGCCAATCTCCACAGCGGCTGACTTGCACTTCTCCATTCTACCATCATCCTCCATGCATCCCCGTTTCCTCTTCCTACAGGTCCTCGGCAACCTCCCCTCGCCCTCCACCATCGTTTCTCCCTTCCAGCGTTTCATCGTTCCCACCGCCGATCATGCTAACCACCATCGTTTTGTAGGCGTTGAGCCCCGTTCGCACCACGCATCGGGCCCTCGCCGCGGGCGCCTTCGAGGGTGCGAGCACTTGTACGACGCCTAGGACGTGCTCTCAGGCGCCGACCCGCCGGAGTGGGTCCGACGGGGGCATACGAGCATACGACGGAAGTCGGCTGCCCGCCGCGGGCTCCCTCGAGAACGCGAGCACTTATAGTTATACGACGCCTCGCCTGCGGTAGCGTAGTACGTGTTCTCTCCGGACTTGCTTCTGTTCCGACGCAGCCATACGACGGACGTGTACAATCGGGCGAGGACGCGTGCACGCATATCATCCGGCGAGGACGTGTGGCTCTTCGACCCGGGGAGAGAGACAAGCGTGGTCAGGGCAGGTGCTATGTCATTATCGGGCGCAAGAATACACGATCGCAGCTTCTTTGTTGTACACTAGCCACCACTAGGTGACTCCCTTTTGTAGATCCTCGACGAGCTCGTCACGACTCAGGATTTCTTGATGATCGCCTTCCACCTCCACCACTCGCAGATCCGGGCAACACTTGTCCATCCCCAGCGCCCACCACTCTTTCTGCACCTCTGGCGCAACACCCGCGAAGACGCCGCGCGACGCCTTGTACAGTGTTACCGGCGCCCTCACCTCTCGCATCCACGCAGTCATCCCACGCACAACCTCCGCGTACACCCTGCGCTCACCCGCAAGGCTCAAGACAAACTCAGTTGTCCGCACCATACCCTCGATCAGATTCTCGTACATGCTCGCCATCAACTCCGACATATCCTCTGCGGCCATGCGACCGTTCCACCGCTCCCACGCGCAGTCCGCAAACTTGGGCCACCACGGGTCCTCGTACCCGCGCATCAGAGCGCAGACGCCGCGCACGCCGCGCTCGTGGTGCGCGCGAAGCGTCGCGGCGTCGGCGAAGTCCGTCTCGGGCGCGTATTCGTTGCCGCCCGCGCGCGGGATGAGGCCCATGAAGGGCGAGTTGTCGATGAGCACGAGTTGGACGACCTCGTCGCCGTTCGCCTCGAGCAGCTTCGCGATACGGCACGCCATGAACGCGCCGGCGGAATACCCCCCGACGCGATACGGGCCAGTTGGCTGCGCCTCCTGCATGCGACCCCAATTCAGTAAATATTCTCAATTCAAAAATCCGAATTACCTTGATCTTGCGAAAGTAAAAGTCCGTATGGGCGGCGAAGCTCGTGCGCGGCGTCTCGGAGGTGACCTGGATCGC